CTGATGATGATGATAAACCACATTCCGTTTGTAATGAAGATGAAGACGAACCACGTTCTGGTTCTACTGAAGATGAACCACGGTCTGTTACTGAAACTCCATTTTTACTAAACAATTCAATTAATGTTACTTGAGTTTTACTCATCTGAAACAAAAAAGATTCAAAATTTCATTATTGATGTAATGAAAATATTGAATTAACAAACAATCTATATCTATCTATGTATCTTGAAAAAAAGAATAGAAAAAAGAATGTGATTAGAAAAAAAGAAAAAGAAAGATTAACCGATAATAAAATTCATCAAAAGAGGTCGTGTTGTACATTTTATTCTTTACTGACATTAATATGAATTTATATCCAAACAGATTTTTCGATAAAAAACAAAGTGTTAATTTCAAAAACACAGTGTATTGAGTACACGCTGCTTTTGTCAACAGTGTGTAAAATAGCGTGTATTTTTCATTTAGCAAGGGTTTCGTACACTTTGCTTCTGCAGCGTACACCTGCTGTTCGGAACCTTGAGCGTGACATCACGCGTACCAATAGCGTTCGAGTAGACATGGGTGACCAATAACCTGTCGTTGTATCGAGTTTAGATTCAAAATGTTTTACATCAGATCGATGTGTATCACTAGTTAATACTGGTTGTTAGAGAGTACTCTAACATTCATCTTATTTTTATTCTTCTCTTCAACTTCTATGTGCACCATCATTCGGATATACTTTTCCACTTTACATACGTTAGTCGATGGATATTTCTTTTCTTTCCTTTTCTCCTCTTCTTTGTTTTCTACTTTCCTATCCGGCCGTGACAATTTCAACTAATTCTCGGTCTTTTCTTCTATTCTAAATTTATGAGCATTTTTAATGAAAGAAGATGTTGGACGTCATCTTCATTATTTAGAACAGCCCAGGCTGAAGTAGAAGACACTTATTCATCTCTCTCTTTGTATTTTACTTGAGGGTGTGGGTGTGGGTGTGTGGATGGGTGTGGGGTGTGGGTGTGGTCCAAATAGAAGACACCCGCACCCACACCCACATCCACACACCCTCACTCCCACACCCACACCCACCCACATCCACACCCACCCATACCCACGCCCACACACCGACACCCACACCCACACCCGCACCCACCCACACCCTCAACCCACACCCAACATGCACCATTATTCGAAAATATTTGATCAACAAATATTTAGTTTTATCTGAAGATAACACTTATGATAGGTGATCATAAGAAATAACATTTATTCCAAAATTGACAATTCGTTTCGAAATCTAATCTATTTTAGCCTTTTAATCAATTCATTTAATCTCTTAACAAGAAAATTACAATACATATTACATTCTACTTTTCTTATGTATAGATTAGCAAAATCTACTGGTTATGCAAATGAAACAGCTTAAAACAATACTATTATATGTATACTTCACTTATATAAAGAAATATGCTATTCAATGGATTGATTAAAAATTTATTTAAAGAGAATACGATCTATTTACTTGAATTTTTCACTTTACGAGGAGCTCATGCATAAAAATAAACTAGCCGAGATACATAAAAAAAAAATTTGTCGTATCAGTAGAAAAAAATAATATATAAACTATCATTAATGATGTTGTTCAAAGACATTCTATGGTAAGCATCAGCTTTTTCCAAATATGTTAAATATTTTCTTCAACTTAACTTTCGAGAAGAGATTTTTTAGCAAATATATTTTAGAAAATGTTTAAGAAAGACAAGCAAAACTAACAATTGTACTAAACCAATGAATTCTGTTTAGATAATTTTGCAAAATGATGTCTGACTCTCGATAACGAATAATAAATATAGAAAATCTTCAATTTTGACTGAAGTCTACATATGTTGAACCGTTGGTAATTACTACAAATAACCTTCATTTGCTTTTCCTTGATAGTTTATTTATTTGTATCCAGATTTTAATTGTTCATGGAACTACTACTCTTCTAATTAAAAACGTTATAACTCTCAAACTATCGATTGAAATAAAGATAATTTTATCACAGCATATTTTGTATTGAGCTTTATTGTTCAAGTAAAGTTATTTAATTAAAGTTGTTGTTGTTCAGATGCAGATAAATCTTGTTTTGAAAACGATAAAATTCTCATTTGTAATTGATGTTTTGTTGGTTGTTGATGACGTTCTGCTCGTCGTTTCAATACTGGAATAGCAAATAAAATCAGACCACCTATTAATGTTGAACCACCAGATATTAAATATGGCCAAAGATATGGTCGATTAAAATCTGAAAAAGCATCACGCATTGTACCTGAAAGAAATCAATTATATTTAAAGAAAATTTTTCATCATTTATTTTCTTCTTACCAACAATTGGTGTTCCAAGAACAACAGCAGTACCTTGAAATAATAAAAGAACACCAAAAGCATCAGATAATTTATCAATACCAACTAAATCTACAACAATAATTGATGTTAAACCAACATTACCACCAGAAAAAAATCCAAATATTCCAGCATAAGTCATATGTGTAAGAACAAAAGAATTACAAAATGGTGCAAACATTGTTGCTATACCAGTAATTATTAATCCTGTATTGTATAATGTTAAACGATTAACCTATATTTAAAAGAAAAACGAATAGACTATATAGAAAAAAATTATTTTGTTTTTTTTTTGTTTTTGTGTTACCCATGATCGATCAGCTAAATAACCGATAATCACTCGACCAAAACAATTAGCTAGACCAATAGACATAATAATCCAATGTCTTTGATGTTCAATTACTTTTGCATCAGTAGCTAAATCATTAGCAAAATTGTATGGAACATAAAAACCAAGACTTGTTAAAAAATTTGATACAGTAAATAAAGTAAATGCAACATCTTTTAATAAATTAAAATCAATGTGTTCAGTAATTTTTGTTAGAAATGATTTTTTTTCAGTTTTGTTCATTGTTTCATTTTTCATATCACTTATTTTTATCACTTGACGATGATGTTCCTCAATATTCTCGTTATTTAGTGGAATATTATGTAAACTACCTTGATAAATCGAACCTTTACGTGAAACTACGACTGATAAATTATTTGTTACTGTTTCGGATACATTTTCATGAGATCTTGAAACAGTTTTGTCTGTTGAATGATCAATGTAAAGGTTATTAGTCTTCATATCTGATAGCGACACTCGATGTTTATCATCCGATAAATATTTCTCTTCAATAGGAACAACAGCAGTTGCTTCTTTTAAAATTACACTTATTTTTTGTAATGGAATATCACTAAAAAACACTATCAGCATGTTACAATTATATAAAACAAGAAACATATTCCTAAAGAATAGATCATCATTCTTCTTTGATCTCATATCTTATGTATTTGTTTTCATCATAGTTTCTTTTATTTAAAGAATTCAAATGAATATCTATAGACAAATGTTTACACAATTAACAAATTTAAATTTCAAACCTTTCTCGATTCGTTGGAAGTAACTGATTTTGTTGTTCATCATTTTGACTAGTAACAGCTCTTGCTTTGAATATTTGTCGTTTAGCTTCTGCTCGTGCTTTTCGTTCTATACGTCTTATTTCACTTGGTTCTTGTGGTAATGGAATCTAAAGAAGATTAAATTTTTAAAGTTTTCTATTTATCAAAATAAATAATACCATTAAAACACCAAATATAACACAAATAAAGATAATTGCTGCCTCGAGTAGAAGAACACCTTCATAATCAAACCACAATGATGCATTCATAACATATGGCATAACAGCTGGAAATACCAATGTACCCAAACCTGAACCACAAACTGCAATACCCATAGCAAAAGAACGTCGTCTTTCAAAATAGAAACCAACAGAAACAATAGCTGGTAAATAGATTAAACCAAAACCAATGCCTATTGACATATAAATCTACAACTATTCAATACACAAGAAGTTCTTTTAAAACATACCTCCAATAATACCAATGGTTAGATAATAAAACCAAAGATTCGCCCAAAAACAACTTGCTAAAAAACCAGTAGCAGCAAGACAAGCTCCAACTATCGTCACCTTTCGACATCCACATGTATTTATAAATATCGTTGCAATAGGTCCTAAACATTTACTATTCAATAAAGAATATATCTTGAAAGAAAAGTTGTTCACCTGTTACAAGTGTTATTGTCGGTAAAATTCCAAAAATAGTTGAAACAGGTCCTCGAGTTTTATTTAGATTATCCATCATTGGACGTAAAAACAAATCACCCATTGAATATGTTATTCTATTATTGTAAAATAAAATTATGATTTACACAAAAATAATTTACTAACCCATCCATTATAAAATGTATCATAAGAGATGCAAATACAATAATCCATCCCCAACGACCATCGGGCACAACAGCTCCAGAAACTGGACTATTTGTATTACCGGTATTCGCCATTTATAATCTTGTACCTTGAAAGAACAAAAAGAAAATAGAATGAGATTGGAAAAAAGTTTATTCATCAATAAAAACATAAAAAATAAGCTAGAGGAATGTTTTTTACATAATTTTGAAAGAATTGTTTAACATTAGTTTATCTCAAGGATCATTTTTTTTTTTGAATGTCACTATAAGAGGAACAAATAAGACATGAGCATTTGCATGAAGAGAAGTGTCACATTCATATCCATACCTTTAAGATGAACACTCACTTCTGAATTGTTATTGATCCATTGTTTACAGTCATGCTTTGACGATGGCGTGATTAATATTATATCATTATTGTTTCCTCCATTTTATACTCCTATCTATTCTCCGTTTTGTTTCTACCTCATTGGTAAACGCTTCAAAGTATCACCAATAAGACACACAAAAGAAAAAAAAGAACCATCTACGTGTATATCTTGTTGTATTACATCTTTCTAATCGTTCGTTGTTATTCAAATTAAAAGAACGAAAAGAAACGAAAGATTCATATTACTTTTTATTCGATTACGAGAGAAAAAATACGACATATCTAAAGATTATTTTTGAAAGAAGAAATAAAAGAACATTTTTTGCAATTGATACCAACATTGAATAAATGATATTAATAATTTTCAGATTAATATATAACCATAGTTAAGATAGAAACAAATTCAACTAAGAAAATATTTTGTTTTTTTTTCTATTCTTCTGTACTTACA